TATATGATATATATAAATTATATATAATGTATGAAGGAAGACAGAGATCCTGATACTACAAAGGATACATTAAGGAGAGAGAGATTAGAGGAGGAGAGACCAATTAAGAGCTGATTTTGATTTGTAAATCAGAATAAAGAAATCAGAAAAAAAATTACCCTGGAATTCGGGAAGGATAATGTACCTTTTGATTGGAGAAGTTAGATTTTGATGAAAAAGAACAGAATTATGTTTCATAATTGACATCAAATTTTTAAAAATCTTTATTTCAATTATGAGATTGAGTTGAATGAGTGATTCACAGATGGGGGGAGATTGTTACATACTTCCTATTGTATTTTGAATATATCTGGTCAATAGATAGATCCCTTTAGCAAAGCTGCATACACATTACTGCCTGTGTGAAAGATTGCTATTTATATGACTGTTCATAGGTGATTTTTCTTTACTGTAACCCATGTACACCTAGAATTAGCACTTGAAATTGTTTTATAGACATGTCTGACAGGGTTCTCTCAAGTCTATTAGCTGATACGATAAAAATAAGTCTTTAAATATGAAGCAATTTGGCTCTTCCAATTAGATAAATATTTAATATGTATCCAAAGGAGATGGACAGTGTCAGTTCTCTTCTAGTTGCAAGGACTTGTTCCTTTCCCATTGCTTTAATTTCATTTTAACATTGACCTGATAAATTTTATTGAAAGTATTTTTGTCATACATGTGGTTGTGATGGTGATGCTGCTGGTGGTTGCTTCGGGGAACATTTAATCTAATATTTTTTAACTTTTAAGAGTAAAAATTCTAATTTGGAGCAGACAGTGAAAATGATCATAACAGACTTCTTAGCACAATTCTACGGGGATTATTAAGCTAAAAGAAGTGTAGCTGATCATTGATATGTCAAATCCGGCAAAGCAAGGGAAGAACCAGGGGGACAGCTGTTCTCTTTGGATTTCCGATTGTGTTCTTCCTACTATGTTCAGGAAAGGAGTTCTGTGAAGTATATGTTATGTGGTTATTTTCAATAGACCTTTTCTGTCTCCTTTAAGATTTTGCTATCCACCACCTCTATATTTCCTGATGCTGCATGAACTATGCAACTACCCTTTTTTAGAGGGAACTTCTGATTAACTTACATCTTGATACTGTTCTTTAACAGCTTCCCAGTTGCCATGTTTCACCTACTTGTTCGTTTTTCTTTATGAGAAATGAAAAATAAAATGCCTGCTTTGATATCTAACAACTTTCATCCCCATTATTTCCAGCCCCATATATATATATATATATATATATATATATATATATATATATATATATATATATATATATATACAGAATGTATCTGACTGATAAAGTGACATGATAACTTACATCAAGGGATTTTCTAAGTTTCTCCCAGGTGGCACAAGGGGTTAAAGCACTGCACTATGAAGCAATCCACAGCCTCAGCACACGAGTTTGATCCCAGGCCAGCCAGGGAGCAACCCACATGGCGAGGCAGACAGCTCCTCTCTCATCCACTGCTCCCCTCAGCAGTGTATTCAATCAGTCTGCCTGTTCTGTTCCCCACTCTGTCTCTGATGAATCCTCTCACCCCCTGCAACTCTGGTCTGCACCCCAGCTCTTGAATGTATAATTAAATAAATCTTTTTTAAAAAAAGAGAGAGATTTTCTAAGTTTCTGAAAAGTTTTTCCTGTTTATATGAATTCTAAATCTCTGTATTTCTTACTGATTTCTAGAGAGTTCAATTGAAAGTCAGCTTTACCAGCTATAGCTACACATACCCAAATGACTTCATATTTATCCTCCGGGAATAGCAGCTCATTCCCAATTTCCCTCAACCATATTGATGGTAATTCCTCATACTTTATCCAGTAGCCTTTCTTATGTAAGACTTTTCAGAAGCAATCCCTTCATTCTGCTTCTCATGCAATTGCTAATACCTTGTTATGCATCACTGTCAGCTTAGTTTTCCCAAGATATTCAGTATATGGGAGACAGAAGACAAAATGGTCTGGAGACAGCACTTATTGAAGTAGGCACAAGCTTTATTGATGACTTTGGTTTAAGAATCTCTTCCAAGCAAGGCTGTCTCCTGATACACTCTTCAGAGAAGAGATGTGAGATCACATTTAAGTACACTGTCCATGTACATTGTCATCAATGTCCCCTATGTCTCCATCACTGCTCACTCCACACCCAACCCCAGGCTCGCTCCCCTCTGGTTGCTCCTCTTTCTCCTTCTACTCTTGACTCTTATCTTCTATCTCCTTGATGCTAGAGTCAGTTTCTGAACCTTTGACCAGGAATCTGTATCCAAATCATCCTTATGGGTTAACAAGGAGTTTATATAAAAGAGATAAGTTGATGTGATAAATGGGAATCTTTCCAGATCCTTGATTCCTCTGGATAATCAGGAAACTAATATAATAAAAATGCATCTCCAGAATCCCCATATTTAACATTAGTGTTATAGGACAGGGAGAGGGGCAGCCCAAACCCCACAAACCTGCCTATTCTACATGGGTTCTGCCATCCGCCACATCAACACAAAACATATGAGACTTTAATGGGAAGGAACTTTAATAAAACTAGGAAACAATACAGGAAAAGCAAATAATCTAGTTTTTAAATGAAACACCCAAAGTTACCCATCCCCTCGTGGGTAAAACTCTATCCAAATGGGATCGGCCCAGAACAAGGCCCCAAAGCCTGCCACAAGTCTAAAGCATCTTCCAGTGGGGACCCACAGAAAAGGGTCACAAACAAGCAGACAAGCCCGGAAGGAAAAGAGCAAAATCAACATCAAAATAAAAGCTGCCATGGTCACCTCCCCACGGGTCTCACCCACATCTGTGTCACCTAGTCCACGACCAAAAGACAAGCGCAGTTTCTTCACGCGTCTCTAGGCTCCATGTGCCTCCTCCAGGTCTCCTGGCTCCATCCTGCTTCCTTCCTTAGTCTCTTCTGCAGCTTCTTCTCTTCCTGCTCAGCTCCACCCTCCCTTGGGTGGGGCAGGGAACTTCCCCCTTTCCTGGGGACCACCCTGTCTCATTAGCAGACATCAATAGATAATTCATAATTATTTGCTGGAATGAATAAATGGATTAGCTGGTTGCAAATGAGCCCCTACTGTTATAGGACAGGGAGAGGGTCAGCCCAAACCCCGCAAACCTGCCTATTCTACATGGGTTCTGCCATCCGCCGCATCAACACAAAACATATGAGACTTTAATGGGAAGGAACTTTAATTAAACTAGGAAACAATACAGGTAAGGCAAAGAGTCTAGTTTCTAAATGAAGCACCCAAAGTTACCCATCCCCTCGTGGGTAAAAGTCCATCCATATGGGATCGGCCCAGAACAAGGCCCCAAAGCCTGCTACAAGTCTAAAGCATCTTCCAGTGGGGACCCACAGCAAAGGGTCACAAACAACCGGACAAGCCCGGAAGGAAAAGAGCAAAATCAACATCAAGATAAAAGCTGCCATTGTCACCTCCCCACGGGTCTCACCCACATCTGTGTCACCCAGTCCACGACCAAAAGACAAGCGCAGTTTCTTTACGTGTCTCTAGGCTCCATGCGCCTCCTCCAGGTCTCCTGGCTCCATCCTGCTTCCTTCCTTCCTCAGTCTCTTCTGCAGCTTCTCCTCTTCCTGCTCAGCTCCACCCTCCCTTGGGTGGGGCAGGGAAACTCCCCCTTTCCTGGGGACCACCCTGTTACACTACCATTCTTCCCCGTTCCATCCTTTAAATTTCACTAGAAAATGAGTGGCAGAGATGATGGACTTGTAACAGGGTGGACTCAGTGGGTAGAGGAAGTGTCCAGGCACTATATGGGGCAAGTGGAAATAAAAAGGAATCCTGACTTCTTAAGGTTTCTCTTATTTCAGTTGCTTAGGTATAAAAGGATTTCAGCAATATTGTCCTCTGGCTTAAATAAACCCAGTTGCATACATGGAGAAGAAATAATTAGGTCTTCTTTTAAAATTCCTGGTGTCATTGCAAATTGAAAATCTTATCCATTAGTTGATGGCAAAGAAGAGTCATTTTAGGAAGGGTGAAGGTTTTATCTTTTTGACCTGCTACTTCTGGTGCTGAGGGCAGGACTCCTGAAGCATCTATGACTGTGTTTAATTCTCACCTTGGTACAGGGCTTTGTGCTCTGCAAAACTTGTTCACACACATTTCTCTTTCATTCTTGTAACAACACCCTGAGCCTTATCTCCTGCCACTCTCCCCCTCTCAATGTAGCCACAAGAGTCTTCTTGCTATTCTTGGACCACATCAAGCTCCTCCTTGCCTTGGGGCTTTTGCAAGTGTTATCCCCTTGTTTTGGAATGTTCTCTCCACCCCCTGCCTTCCCACCCTCTTTTCTTAAATGCCATTCCCTAAGGAGATGTTCTTTGACCTCCCAGATTAAGGGACTTCTCCCAGGCTTTCTGACTTTTGTTTGTGTTCTTTGTTTTGTCCCTTTTTGCTTCTTCCTTTTTTTTTTTTTTTTTGCATGACAATCTTTATAAATATAGTTACAGATTATTTGTATATTCAGTTGTTTGTCTTTCTCTTTCAATAAATGGTAAGCTGCCTAAAAATAGTGATTATACCTCCCACACCTCCCTCTACTGCCCTGGCACTTAGTAAGTGCTCAGCACAAGTTGAATGAGTGATAGCAAAGCTAACATTTGAGCCCCTGTTATACCTGTCTAGAAGAATGAGTGTTACCCCTCAATAAGACCAGTTGTTTGATTTGCCCTCCCCCGTCATAGGCACTATGTGGTAGAAGTGCAAGTGGAAGCCAGGACTTCTGTTTACAATCCCATGAGAAGGCATGTTCCCTCATTTTTTCTTTAACATCCTCTCTGTTATCTCCATGAAATAGTTATTTGGGTCAATGTCTAGGAAAAGTGACCAAGTAGAAGAAGTCAGAAATTTTGTGCCAGATACCAGCTTGTAGATGGATTCTCATTTTCCTGCATCTCTCTGTTCTTTCCACAGACACATTTCAGTTGGTCTGATATAGGTCTCAATATACCAACCCAAAGAAATTTCCATTGATAAATGCTGTTTGTATAGTATCCAGAAGACAGTGTAAGTATTTCAAAAAATGAAATTCAAGTTTTCAGAGCTTATTTGGGGGAAATTCCCAAGAATCACAAAGGAAGAGCAGCTTGGGTAACACCTGTAGAATCCAGCCTCTACTGTGAGATCAGTTTTTGTTTGCATGCTTGGAATTAATTCTGAATATCAAATCATATTTTTTTTTTTTTGCAATTTCCAAATCCTGATCAGTGGGTTTGTATTTTATTCATTAGTGGTTGCTAAGAGTGTGCATTTTTTCCAAAGTGTGGGCATTCTCCACGGCAGCTCTCAACAAATACCCTCCAGCTGAAAGTGGATGTGTCTGGCATTAAAATCACTAGCATTCAGGCTGAATCAGAGCCCTGTGTTTATGGGTAGTTCACCTCATCTCTCATGCTGCCATGAACAACTCGCATTCCTGAGAGATGGAATAAGCCATCTGAGTCAACAGAGCCCCAGCTTTTTCTGAACATTGGTGTAGCCTTTTGATAAGTTTTCACAAGTTTTTAATAAATTTAATAATATAATCTCAAATATCTCTTTAATTTTTATCCATGAGATCTAAATATATCTCTCCCTCTTAAAGTCTAGGTGCTTTTGGCATTTTAATTTTCTTTTTAATCTCAGTTTGAGACTAACCACATATTTACAGCCTAGATTTTCATGGGATTATTTCAAATTATTTATTTGGGGTTTATTCTGCTGTAGAGTTTTGAGGGTTTCTCTTTTAAACTCAGGACCACGTATAATAATACTATTAAGGATGTTAAATAATTCTAGATATCCTAGAATTCCCAGATAATCTAGAACTGGTAAGAAACTAAAAAATACAGTTCTTGATATAAACCATAAATAGAAATAAGGCTTTGTAAAGAAGAAGAAGAAGGAAGAGAATTTTTGTGTGGTGCTGAATGGCCTCAGCCATGGGAATGGTTTAGGTCTACAAGCTAACAAGTTAAGGTCTACAAGTTTAGGTCTACAAGTTAACCTGAGCTACAGCAAAGCTAAGACTGATTAAACAGGTAAAGTAGTAGCCACATTACAGAAAAAAACTTATATCAGAATTATACATTTAAAAAATTATACTGACATGTAATATACATAATTGTTTTATGAATTAAGTATTGCTATTACAATATCTCTGTTGGAAAATTATGGGATAATCTAAATTGTTTATCTTCCTAGGATGACACGTACCTAAAGGTCATGTTTGCCTTGCGAAAATGGTAGGAGAGGTTAATTTAGGAAGAGCAATCAGGATATTTTATAAAATCTTCAAACATCACAGGTTCATTAAGAAGGGATTTGTGCATTCCACACAATAAGCCCTGGCATGACACTTTAATGAAGTACAGAATCCACTGTGAGCAAGGGAAGGACAATGATCTGGTCCTCATTTCTCACCAGAGCCAAGGTAACAAAATAAGGTGGCTAGGTGTTTGGATATTAGGCATGTTGCACATTCAAGTTGAGGGGATTTTTCACAAGTGAGTAGCTATTTGTTTTTGTGATGCTGGAAACAAATTTAGTTCCTGGTACCAATTTGGATCTCAGTACATAGTTATTCAATGGATAACTACATGAAGAATTGATTTGGTGGCATTGCAAATCCATTTTGAATGTCCCTAATCAGCTTTCTTTCTCATTTACCTGAGCAATTTTTATTCACCTCTTTCATCCTTCTGAAATCCAGTGCTTTGTTATTTTGATACTCTTCTTTCTTCCCCCTTCAATGAAAAGATAGAGGTTATCAGCAGGATAGTCTCCTCCATTCCTTCCCCTTTCCCACCACTCTCATTTGAAAGGCATATTTACATCTCAACTATTATTATTCTTTTCCTTTACTCATATTAAAGAACTCTTCTACTAGTGTCAAGTCTTTCTCAGGAAACTTCATTTATTAGCCAGTGAATCACAATCTCTTAAAATTTTCAACAGTCTTCATAATCTATTGGAGGTGAGAAATAAAAACTGAACAAATAGCTATGTATTCAATAATACATAATATTCAGTTAATATTCATAATATTCAGTTAAAATTGTGATCAATATTATGAACAAACACTCCCTCTATTGCCTCTATGATGTTGTGGCAGAAAATAGTAAGAGAGGGCCTCCCCGGTGGCACAGTTGGTTGAGCGCAGTGCTGTGAAGCTGTCCGCAGCCTCTGCAGTGCAGGTTTGATCCCTGGCCAGTCAGGGAGATTCCCACATGGCGCAGCGCAGCAGACCTCTACTGTCTCACCCGCTGCTCCCCTCAGCAGTGCTTTCGCTCCTTCTGCCTGTTCTGCTCCTGTCTCTGGTGAATCCTCTCACCCTCCCTCACCTCTGGCCTGTACCCCAGCTCTTGTATAAATAAATAAATCTTTAAAAAAAAAAAGAAAATAGTAAGAGACACTTACTGGGTATTGGGCAGCCAAGGACACTGTCTCTGGAGCAGTGGCTTTTAACTAAGACTTTCCAAAATGGAGTTAGTTACACAAAGAGAGAGAAATGGGGAAAAAAATGAACTGAACAGAAGCCTTAAGAAAGGAACAAGTCTCACATGTGACAACAGCTCAAAAGAGAAAATTGTGGCTGGAGCACAAAGCAGGGGACAGAGAATAAATATTCCAGAGAGACTTAGAGCATCACCCAATAAACCATTTGGTCAAAGAGGTGAGGTCAGAGGGGGAGTTGGAAGCCAGATCATGCTGAATACTATAAGGCAAGGGGAGGAGTTTGGATTTTGTTCTATGATGACAGCAAGGCCAAGATCCATTTTGTTTTAAGAGAATTACTTTTACTACAACGTAAAAAGAAGATAGAGAAAGGACAAGGCTAGAAGTAGAAAGTTGACTTTGAAGAAGGTTGCAGAACTCCAGGGGAGAGATGCTGCTGGTCTAGGCTAAGGGGAAGTTGAATACAAGCAGACACAGTTGGGGGATGTTTTGCATTTGTGATCGCAAGAAGCAAAATGCTGCAGAAGTAGCCCATGCCAGATTACCTAGTAGGCAACCTGACCATGGGTTATATAGTACAACTAACCAAATAGGAGATGAAAGAGATGAAAGATAAAGAAGAAGATGGAGAAGATTAGAAAAAAAATTTTTAAAGAAGCCTGTGAAATATCACTTGGTCTGCAGGCTCCATTCTCTTGATTCCTTTAATTGACATGAAACCATTACCAGTGGAGTCCTCTGGGAGTGGCAGAAAAAATGAAACAGGTTCAGGATTATCCTATATTCTTTGCAGGTAACCTATGTCACACGGCATTTGTTGCTCTTCTCCTCCATTACTTTTCTACTGAGATATTTCTAGTAATTGACTTCCTGTTTCATGGGGGTTGTATAGCTGTTATATTTTTTCATGTGTTCCTGATCATTTTATTTGGGTTTGTGAGGCACAATTGTATGAAAATATAGAGGACTAGAACTAGAGAAGCAGGAGAAAAGGAAAGAGGAAAAAGAAACTTATAGGATGTTCACCAGGAATGGAACTTCTAGGAAAGATTTTTGGGGTTTATTTTGTGGAAGACCCAAGGACGTCTCTAGGATGTCATACATTTGTTGATAAGAAAAATAGAGGGTTTGGTGAGATAGTGGTATGTGTTATGAGTTAAATTTACAATGATGGTTTTGAGTGATGGAAATAAATGTGATGCATTTACAATTACTATTTCTTGTTGGTCTACATTTCTTGGAAATTGAGTTTGTCCTAGATTGTGCTACATCAGTCTCTGATTTTATTGTGAATATATAAAGGAAACATAACCAGATAATTAAAAAAAAAGTCTGCTATTTCCTTACATGAAAACATGAGAGGCTTGAAACAGGCCTGTTGAGCCACACATGTTAACAACGTTGTCAATACACAGAGATATTGTTTATTATTTTTCCTTTTTTTCTTTTTTAAGGAGGCAGGGAGTGCAGAATTAAATTCCTTTGCATAAAAAAGTAGAGGAAATAGGGAAACAGAGGGAAAAGGGAAATAAAATGATATGGGCATGAACGAGGAAGAAAGGTAGACGAAGGAAAAATTTTTTTCTTCCCCCAGGGAAAAGATGATGAATTTTTAAGCACAGTGTTGTCTAATGTCTGGTTTTAAGTTAGTGCTTTCATTGTGCTGTGCTCTCATTTTTCTGTTAATCCACATCATTAGGAAACTTTCACTGCTGGTAGTAGCATTTTTTAAGCTATGCTTTGGGAAATTTAAGGAATAGAGACAGTGTCTATGTGGGGAGCAACTGCAAAGGGAGGTGGTAGTGGACACAGTCATGCAGGAAGCAGAGAGGGCATTAAAGATTTTGTGAAAGCAAAAAAAAAAAAAACAACTCAGATCAGATGTATGACCTTGAAGTCAGTTGATGTGGCATATTCTCCTTTGGGCTCCTTGCATCTCCCTGTAGTTTGTTTCAGCTCCATTTTTCTAGTTTATATAAGCACTGCATTCATTGGAAGTCACAATTGGGATGATTTGGACCATTTTATCATCCTCCCTGCCTCACTGGCTTTAGTCCTAAGGGGAGAGTCAGATCTCCTTGCATACTAAAAAAACAGGGGAAAAAAAACCCAAAAACCCCAAAAACACACTGGAACCAGCCAATACCTTGATAGAATTAAACTAACCAGCCCATTTTCATATAATATAAATTATGTCTAAAATTTTAAAAGTATCTGAGAGTTCACATAAAATATATTATCCTTGCTCACTTACTGAACTGATATTTCAGTTCTTTTTTACCACGGTATTCTTAAATAAATCCAGTAGTGAATTAGTCCTGCAGAGCCTTAATATAAATGAATATGGCAACAAACATTTCATACAAGCTGTATTTTATTGTGAAAAACTGGAAGACTCGGAGGACATAAAGTTGGGGGAGTTTGGAGCATGGGACTCCCAAGTCTCTCTGGTTTCCTCAGAAAAGTGCATTGGGTGTTGGGCAGGCTGTTTCATGTGCCTGGGTTGAGGTCCTGCTAGGTTTTACACAGCCCACCTATAAGTGCATTTACTAGGTTTCTGTACCTCCACT